TGGAGTCTTGCTCTGTCACCCAGGCTGGAGTGCAGTGGCATAATCTTAGCTCACTACAACTTCCACCTCACTGGTTCAAGTGATTCTTCTGTCTCAGCCTCCTGAGTAGCTGGGATTATAGGCACCTGCCATGATGCCCAGCTAGATTTGTATTTTTGTGGAAATGGGGTTTCACCATGTTGGTCAGGCTGGTCTTGAACTCCTGGCCTCAGGCCATCCACCCACCTCAGCCTCCCAAAGTGCTGGGACTACAGACATGAGCCACCACTCCTGGCCACTGACTACTCTTTTTTTTTTTTTTTTTTTTTTTTTTTTGAGGCAGAGTTTTGTTCTTGTTACCCAGGCTGGAGTGCAATGGCACGATCGCGGCTCACCACAACCTCTGCCTCCTGGGTTCAGGCAATTCTCCTGCCTCAGCCTCCTGAGTAGCTGGGATTACAGGCACACGCCACCATGCCCAGCTAATTTTTTGTATTTTTAGTAGAGACGGGGGTTTCACCATGTTGACCAGGATGGTCTCAATCTCTTGACCTCGTGATCCACCCGCCTCGGCCTCTGACTACTCTTTTAATAAGTTTTGTTATGAAGACAGAGAGATACAGGATTGATTATAGATGGGGAAAAAGTAGAATCAAGGGAACTTTGTGCTTATTTATTTTCTAAGAATGTGATGCTTTTCATTAAGTTTTTAGGCTGTGAGAAGGAAGCAGGGAGAAGATACAAATAATCGGTGAAACAAGGTTCCAGAGAAAAGCTTACAAATAATTTTTACTGTGCACCTACTATGTGCCAGTCACTGTGCTGGGGTTTAGCTGTGTGATCTCATTGATCTTCTGAACACTGCTACAAAGTGGAGAAGGATTGTTCCCATTCTCTGCTTTGGGCAACTGAGATTGAGAATAGTAAAATAACTTGCCCAGGTTACCATATCTCGGATTTGAGCCCAAGTCAGCTGACTCCAATGTCTCAGTGCTTTTCATCATATTATTTCTCTGCTGGAAAAGAGGCGGATGTATCTTTCTCTGATTCAGAAAGAATAAGAAACGCAAAGAAATAAGCACATTTGTGATGGAGGAAAGGGACGTGGTAGGTGTTTCCATCATGTGGTCCGTGTCCTCATTAAAATGTGACTCAAAGCGATCAGCTGTGAGAGAGAGGGGAGAAAGGGTGAAGCCAGGCAGGGGACCATGAGAAGGGAAGGGATTTAGGATAGATCAGTGGGTGAGATATTACAGGGAGACAATCAGAAAGAAACAAAAGACCTTGCTTTAAAGCTAGGAGTAGTGGGCTGGATTTTTAGAGAAACCAACCTACATGGGAGAGGCAGAAGATTGTCTTAGCATGGACATCTCCCCAGAGAGATTTCAATGACAGCACCAACGGAGCCCGGAGCCACAGATAATGCTGATTTTAACTCGAGACACCCGCACACCCCAGGGCTCTGAGAACAAGTCATCAGACATCCCCAGGGGATTATCAGCCCCAACCGCCTGCCACAGGAGAAAGTGCTGACCAGCTCGGAGTTAGCAGGAGCTGTTCTCTGGCCACCCCCCTGAAGCCAGGTGCACTCCAGCCTCCTGGCAAGGTTGCCATTCTGATATGAAAATATTCAAAGTCCTCACTCAAAAATAACAACATCTGCTAATTTGCATGGGAGTTTTGCATTTCATATTTGGGTTTAATACGCAAATGCTAACATTCATGTGTTGGTCTAGCTAGGTGGTTTAGAGGTGCCACGGGTAAAAACTCCTCATGGTTTTCCACTCCAGTGCACCGAAACCCACACCCAGCCTGCACAACTCTGTTCTCTCCCTTCTCCTTGGATTGACCCTCATGTGAATGATGGGATAAAAAATCCGAATTCGATTTACCTAAAGACTTGTCATGTTTAAGAGCGTCTCTTGGCCAGGGCGTCCCCCCATGTTCCTGTGTCTGCTATGGGGTCCGAGTCCTCCAGCATCTTCATTTGAGATGAGCAGCTGCTCCTTGGTGCCACTTGGACCTGGGTGTGAGGGCAGCGGTTATGGAGTGAGAGGTTTGAGAGGAGACAGCAGAGAAGGTGTTAATGAATAATTGCAGGGCCTCATTCTCCATAAAGGCAATTACTGGGATTGATTGTTTCTGTGTTTCCTTAGTCACAGTTCAGATGGCTTGTTTCACTTAGATTAAGACAGATGCATGCTGAATGCGCCCTGGCATGGGATGCCAGGAGAATTATCAGTGGCACATCCCAGACCTCTGCCTTCTCGTGCAGGTGCCACCAAAGGTCTGAAAGGGAAGCATGGTCATTGTGTGGCTGAAGCACGCATGTGCTATAGCCAGGTGGTTTTCCAGCTTGAGCATGCCTCAGCATACCCTAGAGGGCTTGGTAAACAGATTGCTGAAGCCCACCTCCAGAGTTTCTGATTTAGTCGGTCTACTGAAGAATTTGCATTTCCTTTTTTTTTTTCTTTTTGACATGGAGTCTCACTCTGTTGCTCAGGCTAGAGTGCAATGGTGCAATCTCAGCTCACTGCAACCTCCACCTCCCGAATTAAAGCGATTCTCATACCTCAGCCTCCCCAGTAGCTGGAATTACAGGGTTGCACCACCCCACCCAGTTAATTCTTGTATTTTTAGTACAGACAGAGTTTCACCATGTTGGCCAGGCTGGTCTCGCACCTCTGACCTCAGGTGATATGCCCGCCTTGGTCTCCCAAGTGCTGGGATTACAGGTGTGAGCTACCATGCCTGGCCAAGTATTTGCATTTCGTTTTTTTTTTTCGTTTTCTTTTTTTTTTTTTTTTTTGAGATGGAGTCTCACTCTTGTTGCCCAGGCTGAAATGCAATGGTGCGATCTCGGCTCACTGCAATCTCTGCCTCCCAGGTTCAAGTGAATCTCCTGCCTCAGCCTCCCAAGTAGCTGGGATTACAGGCATGAGCTACCATGCCCGGCTAATTTTGTATTTTTAGTAGAGATGGGGTTTCTCCATGTTGGTCAGGCTGGTCTTGAACTCCTGATCTCAGGTGATCCACTCATCTTGGCCTCCCAAAGTGCTGGGATTACAGGTGTGAGCCACCATGCCCAGCCCCGAGTATTTGCATTTCTAACAATTCTGGGCTGCTCCAGCTGGTCCAGAAACTCCTCTTTGAGAACCACTCAGAGTGGTAAGGAGCATGGACACCAGGACCAGGCCACCTGGCTGTGTGACCGTAGGCCATTTACTTACCCTCTCTGCACCTCCATCTCCTCACCTTTAAAGCAGTGGGGATAGTAATAGTACCTCCTTTGTGGGGTTGTTGCCAGGAATAAATGAGTGAGAACATCAGAGCATTTGTAGCAGTATCTGCTGTAGACAGTATGAGTGTTGGAAACATGTATAAAGGACCCAGCCTCTTGGGACTGTGATGTGATCAGGCCAAGTCTGCTTTCCCCAGGTCCTGCAGATCACCATGGAGTTGCTGGGTCATTTTGCCCATTAGCCTTCAATCCTATCTCTGGTGGCCAAGAAAGTTCATGCCCAGCTCAGTGCCAGCCGGAGCATGATTACACCAACATCCATCAAAATCCTCTTCTCAAGCCACCTTAACCCTTCACATCTGCTGAATGCATACAGCTTGACTCAGGGAGACTGGGGTCGTAGGGCTGGATTGCATTTGGGGTTTCTCTTCCCTTGTGGGCAAAGAGAGGGACTGCCTCTTATGGTTCCGTTTCTACCCATGGATGCTGTCTGCTGAATGCATTCTCACTGCCCAGCACTATATGTTTTTAAAACACCATTTTATTAATATTTAACCTTCACAGCGTCACTCTTCGGTAATCATTATTATTTCTGTGTTAACTCTGTTGGGGTTCAGAGACGTTAAATGACTTATCCGAAGTTGCATATTAAAAGCCAGGGTCTCAGCCGGATGCAGTGGCTCATGCTTGTAATCCCGGCACTTTGGGAGGTCGAGGCAGGAGAATTGCTTATGCTCAGCAATTCGAGACTAGCCTGGGCAACACAGAGAGACCCCTGCCTCTAAAAAAAAAAAAGTTTTTTAATTAGCCAGACATGGTGGTACACACCTGTAGTCCCAGCTACCCGGAGGCTGAGGCGGGAGGATCGCTTGAGCCCATAGGTCAAGGTTAGTGAGCTGTGATTGGACCACTGCACTCCAGCCTGGGTGAAAAGCAAGACCCTGTCTCAAAAATAAAAATAAAAAGAAGGCTGGGTGTGGTGGCTCACACCTATAATCCCAGCACTATGGGAGGCTGAGATGAGCAGGTCTTTTGAGCTCAGGAGTTCGAGACCATCCTGGCCAACATGGAGAAACCCTGTCTCTACTAAAAATACAAAAGTTAGCCGGGCTACTCGGGAGGCTATGGCATGAGAATCACTTGAACTCAGGGGGCGGAAGTTGCAGTAAGCCGAGATCATGCCATTCTCCAGCCTAGGCAACAGAAAAAGACCCTGTCTCAAAACAATAAAGAATAATAAAATGAAACATTAAAAATTACATTTAAAAATTAAAACAAATTTTTTTATTTAAAAAAAATAAATAAATAAAAGCCAGATCTATCTGATCTCAATAATCTACAATTTTAAAGTTCTATATTCCCTCGCTAACATTATATAAGTATTTATATAAAGATTAAGGCTGGGTGCCCACGAATCCAGCGATGGCAGCTGCTCCCCAAAGGTGAGCTCTCCAGAACTGGAACTGGCCTGACTTAGGGGTTTGCTTCTCTAAAGCTTACACTTGGAGTCACAGAACATACTCCTTTTGGAAATGTCCTTTTCGGGGACTTGACTTCTGTTGCTGGTTATTCTGTGTGGCCTGACTGTCTGGATTAAACTGCGTTCATGGTCCTAAAGGCAGCTTTCCTTGTCTGAATTTGGATATTGACTTGGAATCTTAACATTTCTGCTCCTGGACGATACTTCCAACCAAATGGCCAGGAACGTATTCAGAAGCTCTGCTGAAATAGGAAGAGAGAAAACATGTTATGCTAATGAAAGTTTGCTATTCTCCCACAGTGTTCCTTTCTGCCGAAATTCTCCATTCATATAGAAACCAAGTATGAGGACAACAAAGGAAGCAACGACAGCGTGAGTAGCCCCTCCCTCCATGCTGCGCTCACCTCTTGGGCTCTGAAAGTCACAGCACTCCTCGCAGCCCCTCTGTGACCAGGGCCAGCACTGGGACCTGTGCCCAGGACCTCAGAGATGTTCTGGCCTTTGGCTTCTGAGGGTTATTTCGTTGGGACTTTTCCCTGGAATTCTTCTGTCGTCTAGCTTTTCTTTCTTCTCATTTTTATGTGCTTTCCATGGGCCTCTGAGCAGAAGCCTGTGACCTGGGGCAATTGTCACTAGAGGTGGAGAGGGTGACGAGGCAGTTGGAACTCCAAAATTTGGTTTCTGATCATTGGATGCAGCGTACATCTTCTCAATGCCTATTAATATTTACTTAGAAAAGGGAATACAATCAGATGTATGTGTGAATAAAAAAAGAAAATACAGGCGGGGTACAGTGGCCCACACCTATAATCCCAGCACTTTGGGAGGCTGAGGTGGGTGGATCACCTGAGATCAGGAGTTCAAGACCAGCCTGGCCAACATGGCGAAAGCTTATCTTGACTAAAAATACAAAAATTAGCTGGGTGTGGTGGTGCACACCTATAATCCCAGCTACCTGGGAGGCAGGAGAATTGCTTGAACCCGGGAGGCAGAGGTTACAGTGAGCTGAGATTGCACCACTGCACTCCAGCCTGGGCCGCAGGGAGACTCCATCTCAAAAAAAAAAAGAAAAGAAAACAAAGAAAGAAAATACAATCAGAAGTATGTGTGCATACTGTATATAAGCTTACTTACATGCGGTATATGTATGCACCGACACAGCCTACCTTAAAATCAGGGGCTACCCCCACAAAATATTTGTCTCCTGAGGCATTCTGACTTTTACTAAATTTCACCCAAGTATTTTGCTTAATCATATTGCTCAAAACCCATCTTGTGGCTGGGCACAGTAGCTCACGCCTGTAATCCCAGTACTTTGGGAGGCCGAGGTGGGTGGATCATGAGGTCAGGAGATCAAGAATATCCTGGATAACACGGTGAAACCCCATCTCTACTAAAAATACAGAATATTAGCTGGTGGCACATGCCTATAGTCCCAGCTACTCAGGATGCTGAGGTAGGAGAATCGCTGGAACACAGGAGGCAGAGGTTGCAGTAAGCCAAGATCATGCCTCTGCACTCCAGCCTGGATGACAGAGCAAAACTCCATCTCAGAAAAACAAAAAAGACCATCTTCTGACCTGGCTTTTACCCCAGGCCCTTTCTGCTGGGGCAGTACATTTCTAAGTTCCCTTTTCTTTGGGAGTGAGTGTTTTGACCTACCAAAAGCCTCACCTGGGATTAGGCTGTGGGTTCCTTCAGTACCCATTGAAAGGAAGAACCTGAATCTAGAAGCTTCAGCGCTTCACCAGAGTTCGTGGAACTTCCCAGAGGAGAGAAGAATACAGCTGGCAAAAGTACTATCCTACCACTATGTTCAGGAATTCCATTGTTAGTGTCTCTTTGAAGTGGCGGCCCAAAGGGACATTTTAGGGCCATCTTCCTGTCACAGCCCGAAATCACAGGCGCATTCCTGGCCAAGTTCCTCAAAACCACAATGTCTAAAACAGCATCACACCGTCTTTAAGCTTGAATCCTTGTAACATACTGATATTTTTCTGATTAGAAAGCCGGCAGGTGCAGTGGCTCACGCCTGTAATCGCAGCACTTTGGGAGGCCAAGGCGGGAGGATTGTCCAAGCTCAGGGGTTCGAAACCAGCCTGGGCAACATGGCAAAACCCCATCTCTACTAAAAATATAAAAAATTAGCCGGGCATGGTGGTACATGCCTGTAATCCCAGCTACCCAGGAGGCTAAGGTAAGAGAATCACTTGAGCCTGAGAGGCAGAGGTTGCAGTGAGCCCAGATCGCGCCACTGCAGTCCAGCCCTGGCAACAAAGAGAGACTCTGTCTCAAAAAAAAAAAAGATGAATACATGGCTATTCACACTTGGAAAATGCACACACAAAAAAGGGTATTAGAAAAAAAAAAGGAAAAACCAATAGCAGTTCCACGATTTAGAGATGACTTCTGTTAGCGATTTGGTTCTTGTTGCAGATTATGGACACATTTATTTTTTAACCAATTCCTCCTGAATTGAATCATATAGTACGTTATTTTTAATATGCCTCGAAGTGTCCTTCCCCATAGTGATTCTTTCCGGCCGTACTGCCTTCCATGCTTCAATGTACTTCTTTAAACAATTGCTAGTCCCTGGATATTGAAGTGAGCTTGACCATTTTCATGTAGCTGTGGACTCTCATGAAAAGGATAATAAGGTTCGGGTGCCTGAATTGCTTTTCCTGGGGTAATATGAAAATGTGGGGAATTTTTTTTTTTTTTAAGACAGGATCTCACTCTGTCGCCCAGGCTAGAGTGCAGTAGCACAATTTTGACTCACTGCAGCCTTGACCTTCTGGGATCAAGTGATCTTCCCACCTCCGTCCCCTCCCCCCTTCCCCCCCTGCGCTGAGTAGCTGTTACTACAGGCACACACAACCATGCCCAGCTACTTTTTGTGTTTCTTTAGAGATGAGGGTTTCAACATGTTGCCTAGGCTGGTCTCGAACTCCTGGATTTAAGCAATCTGCCCATCTCGGCCTTCCAAGGTGCTGGGATTACAGGTGTGAGCCACCATGCCTGGCTGGGAAATTTAAAAAATTTATCCTTTAGTCTTTCCAAACAAATTGCCTTGCTTTCTCTCTTTTCTCTGTGAGTTCATTCAAAACAGCTCTCTACTTGAAGAGGCGTAGCAAGGTCAGGCGCGGTGGCTCTGATCCCAGCACTCTGGGAGGCTGTGGTGGGTGGATCACCTGAGGTCGGGGGTTTGAGACCACCGGCCTGGGCAACATGGCGAAACCCCATCTCTGCAAAATTAAAAAATTAGCCGGCATGGTGGCACATACACCTGTGGTCCCAGCTACTTGAGAGGCCGCAGTGGAGAACTGCTTGAGCCCAAGAGGTCAAGCCTGCAGTGAACCCCGTTTGTACCTCTGCACTCCAGCCTGGGTGACAGAGTGACACCTAAAAATAAAAAAGAGGTGCAGGGGGAACATGTGGCCTCACTGTGATCCCTATAGGTTGGTGGGACCACTGTAATCTGATTTATCCTCTACCCAGTTCAAATAGTCCCCAAAATTCATGTGGTTATTATGTATTATCATATATCCCTTTTTTGGCAGGTGCTAAGGTTTTTTTGACTACTCTGCTAGGAATTGAAAATAACAAGTTATCCATCTTACAATCAGGATCCAGGCTGGGCCCCTTTGAGACTTAGGCTGGCCTGCAAGAGAAGCAGGGATCACCTAGACACTCTGCAATGATCACCTTGGCACTCTGCCCCAATCACCAAGGCACTCTATGCAGCCCTTGGATACAATGTGCTTCCTCGAGAAGTAGCCTGGCTTGCCTCCTCCTCTCCAGCATGTGGATTCTAGAACTGCCCATGGAGCATGCTCCTCATCTCCCTGTCAGGGCACCCAACTTGCCCAAGCCCCAGTCCTGCCATCTTGTTGTACTGAAGAGGCCCTTAATGTTTTTGGCCCAATTCCCTCCCCCTTCCCCCCAGGCTCTGCTTGACTCTGCTCCACAGACCCCAGGTCATGCTGTCTTGCTCCTGAGGCCATAGGATCAGATGGCCTAGACCCACTTGATTAGACTTCTTTGCCAGTTCGCCCCCTCTAATTTACATATTCAGCAGCAGTTGGTTGTCCAGCAGGTTCAAGGTTGGTCCCAGAGAGGCAGAAAAGGAGGGTTGCAGCTGGGTGTGGTGGCTCACGCCTATAATCCTAGCACTTTGGGAGGCTAAGATGGGCGGAACACCTGAGGTCAGGAGTTCAAGACCAGCCTGGCCAACTTGGCGAAACCCCATCTCTACTAAAAATATAAAATTTAGCTAGGCATGGTGGTGGGCATCTGTAATCCTAGCTACTCAGCAGGCTGAGGCTGGAGAATCGATTGAGCCCAGGAGGCAGAGGTTATAGTGAGCTGAGATTGCACCACTGCACTCCAACCTGGGCTACAAGAGTTCAAGCAATTCTCTGTCTCAAAAAAAAAAAAGGAGGGTTGCCTCTGTTTCCATTCATACTTATTAATGCTTCACAATCTGAACATGAGAAGTATATGTTTATCTAACAATTCTTTACTTACTAAATGCTAGCTTTATCTAGCCAGGGATTCCAAATGGCGCTTAAGCCGAGGCGTGTGCTGCTGTGCCCTTTTTCTGTACTGGGTTGTGTGTGGAGCTTTTGGTGGGGCGCAGAGTTGCTAAGGAAAGCAGTGCAATAGTGATAATTCTCCTGTCTCACCGCATCTCCAAACTATTTAATAAACTCCATTCATTTATTTGCATTTTCTGGGTGTACACTCTTATCATTCAGCTACCATCTTCATACTGCTATCTGCACCCTCTTTCCTCCCCTACCTGCCAAAATTTAATGAAATTATGACGATAAGCAATAATTAAATTCAAAGAGGCTACTGATAGTCATATTGATGGTAGTGGCCGAATTGAGTACACGTTGTTATCCTAATATCAATTACCATATAGGTAATTTTTTTACATGACCCAATATCTAGTAAAAAAAAATAAATAGTGGCAGTATGACTAGATATACATATCTTCTCTTCCTTGTTAAAAATAAAACCAGTGTATGTATGATTGTGAAAACCCTTGAACTGTGATTACATGAACCAGGACGCAGAGGGGAAGTTGTCTTAAATTGAGGCCCATTTATTTTATGGACATACTTATGAGAATTATTTGGGGCTTAATTAGCGCTAGGGAGGATGGCACCATGCCAAGGTAAGGTTCTGTTGTTTGTCCAAGGCCATAAATCTAGACCTGGGAGAGTCTGTGCTTAGCACTGCCTGGTTCAGCTGAAGGAGAGGCTGCTCGTGTGGTGACGGCTGCCAGGTTACTGGTGTTCAGTGAGGTTAATGGGGGCAGCCTTACTACTTTACTTCCTCTTTCAAATAAAGCAGGCGCCATTTAA